AATTTCTTCTCATACGGTTAACCAATTTTTCTTATCTGCAGACCTTTTACGGCTTGGAAAGAATATATTGCCCATATTAACTAAATTAATATATATAAAATGCATTATAACTCTTAAGGTCGAGACGGATAGCAATCACGTGATAGATAGAATCCGCATATTAGCATGTGCCGTTTTTCCGGATTCCGCAACGCCGCCAAATAATAATCTTCATTTACACATTATTGTCTATGCTACAAGATGGCCGACGAAGCAGTCGAGAAAATTTCCTCGTTTAAAAGACGAAGTTTCCATACATATTTAATCTTGACGGTCCTTGAAATTGAAGCACCTTAATAAGAATCGAAATGAAAATGAGACTGAAACCGACCATGAACATGATTTTGGTGAAACTACTCCTTGTCCATTGCAGCACCACGTGGGTGCCGGTATATGTGTCTGATGTGGTTTTGAATATAGGCATTAACTGATTAAAGGCCATGATGGAAGGAGAACAAATGTTTTGTTTGCAGTGTCCCTTTCAGATACATCAGGTGAATATTTACGACTATGGTGCATGTTTGTTTAACGTACAGGTCTGGTACAATCACTAGATTTAGCTACGTAGCTTGAATTACCTACATAGGTTTATTTACCTACCTAAAGTAGTTTTATTTAGCTACAAAGTCAAACTTATTTTATGACCAGACTCTTACTTCTTGAATGAAATAACAAGATCAGACATTTCTGGTGAACATGATAAAGGCCGGATTGGTAATTATTTAGCAAAATGTGAAGTAATCATACTTTTCTGTGCCTAAACGCACACGAGGTTGTGTATAGTTACTCAAACAATAGAAATACATATTTTGCTTAAAGCGTTCAAATGCAGAAATGTGTAAACTTTCTCTGCTTTGGATCGCTTTTCAAATATTAATCCCTTGTATAAATAATAGTGGACATTTACTTGCGATTCTAGATCTTTTGATCTTTTGTCTTTTTGAAATAAAAAGCAAATTTGTAAAAAGTTGCATTGAAATAGCTAAATAAAGCTACCAAAGTAGCTAAATAAAGTTACAGTAGCCATCTGTAGGTAATTATACCTATGCAGATAAATGTACTGATTGTACTGGACCTGTTTAATACTTAACTTTGTATATTATTTAAGTATTTTACATGTTAACTTATGATCCATATACATAGATGATGAATTACAGTTTAAATGGTGCTGTATTCAAAAGATTTTGAAATAATTATGCAAGTTTATGTAATAATTATGCACATGTAATAAATTTATGTATGTATTTGTTGTATGCTCAAAAGGGCCCTGATTATAAACAAATATCATAAATACTAAAAGAAATATTAAATACTAGAGGTGAAGCAAAATATGGACTAGGCTAAGGCAGTGTATTCAGCATTCTCTGTGGAAATAATGTGGCCATTCAAATCAAGTATTAGCTGGAAAGAGGAATATCAAGGGTACTTTTTACATTAACTTCAAAGTAGCCATTGGTTTGTATTTAAAGCTTAATTTGTTTCCTCTCTTATTTTTCCTTTCAATTTACACTTGCACATGTATCAGGGAAAATCCAGAAATTTTTCCATTGGGGGGGGGGGGGATTAAAAAGGAGGTGTCTTATATTATTATAAATTTATTAGATTTCAAATTTTTAGTCCTTATATTTTTAAGTTACACACCATAATGTACAAACTATTGTATACATGTAGAAGCATTTTCTCAAGTCAATAATTTTTCAAAGTTCATATACATATTTCAGGAAAATTCAAGACAGATCTGCTACAGTAACTGTACGTAAAGTAGCATACATGTGTGACAGGAAAGGAGGAAAATGTATAGCTGGACCGAGAATCTAACCTGGGACCCCTGCATCACTAGTCAGGTGCGCTATTGACTTAAATACATGTACCGGTAAATGCTTGTGTATAGACATACAAAAAAAAACACATTGTAAATTGAATTAAAAACTGAATACAAGTAACCAAAAATTATAAAATGTAAAGATGTCTTCTAACTTAAATGAGATTGTTTCAACTAAAACACCAAAGAATTGGTATGACAATCTGAAGAAGTCAGTATTGTTCAAAAAACTTTTAAGAGACATGGTTTTTTTAACAATACATGTACATACTGACTTCTTCACATTATCATACCTAAATTTACAAAAAATTAAATTTACAAATTAAATCAGAATTGTTAATAAATTCTACAATATCTTTTAAATAGATCAAGCTATCTACTTTAATTTTTATTGTCTTTTCTTCACATTACAGGTCTTATGAACATACATGATCCTTGGCTATTTAATCAAGTGTCATATGCAGTGTTACAAAAGAATATTGGAATTATGACAATAAGGTAGTTAGGTAATTAGGGACAAGACTGGATTAAAAACCATATAATAGTTACTGTACGTGTACATAAATTGGCGTATTTAAAATTTAGCACAATTACTGGGTGTGGAATTGTTGGCAAAAGCATGAATTTGAGCTATATATGTCCCTGCTGTATATTGTATTTATAAATGATTTCTTAGCGGTATTCTTGAATTAGCACATCGTTGTCTGCGCCAAAGCCTCTAAAATATGAAGCCTGCTTTTTTAAGTACACATACAGCATGTTGCTAGTTGCTATATGTATTGTTTCACATTGAAGATGTGTCATTGACAGGTACATGTAGTGTTTTTTCCACAAAAACTTTATCCTTTGGCCTTAACTCTTGAACAATTATTGCTGAGTCTTTGTATTTCACATGTTTATTTCTTTTTTTAACCCCATGATCTTGGCCTTAGAGTGAGACCTACATTGAGAAACTAAAATATTTTATCTTTATCTATGTATACCAATTTTTTTTTTAATTTAGACACTTCATTAATCAAAACAATTTCCTTGGGAGCAAAAGTGTCCAGATTAATGAGGCTGACTATATATGCATTTGATTAAAAGATTCATGACAATTTGATAAATACATATATAAAAAATGTATTGCTACAGTATAATCTGACAGAAATGTCTTATATTCATAATATAGACATAGTCATACCATGTTTGCAGTGTAAGAAAGAAGTAATACATGTATTTTAGTTCTGTAAATATTAAAATAATTTGTTCATTTCAGAAAAAGAGCTACCAGAAGGATACAGTAAAGAGGAACAGACATATCCCACCCATTAGATATGTGCTTCAAAATCTGAATATACAGAATAAATTCCGCTCATTGCAGCTCCTTTTGAAAAGAACACCTTTGTTGTATTGACATAGAATCAACAGAATTGTCCAGTTCCTTGAACATGACACAACCACAACTGAATGCATATGATGGCAATTAAAGATTCATACATGTGTACATTGATCTTCGTCAGCCAATAAGCCAAAAAGCTACAGCTAGCAAAATAACAAGTTTATCTTACTTTTCCAAATGAATCTTAATGGTAATACATGTACATGTAGCATCAACATTCATCAAGCATTGTTATATTTCTTAGATTTTCTTAAATCAAACCATCCTTTTCTTGTTGTAGGTCATAATGTTGTATCAATTAAATGACATTCCAATTTTCTTGAAATTACTTGAGGAGTTTGGACTTCAAGAAAATCTTACATATTATTGAATGTATTCACTTTATTTTGTTGAACTTGTTGAGTTTAAAAGTTGTACACCATCATATACAGTTTATGGTGGGATTCCTTTAACTTTTATGAACCTGTGTGTAAAATCTATACTTTAAAGTTACAAATTATTACCTTTAATAGATTATATGTTCTTATGTAAATTATTACACTATTTTTGTATGTATGTAATGATAACCGAATCGCTCTCTATTTCCCCGCACTTTTTACCATGTGATGCTTTAGTGTATTAATATCTGACTACTGATGACCAGGCAGTCTTCATTAAACAGTGAAACACATAACTCATGCTTTTATTTGAATATCTTTAAAACAAGGATAACATACTGTGAATTGATTCTGTTTACAAAACTTCATAATCACTGGGTTTTCTTATACATGTTATACATGTATTTGGAATGAAAAAGGAATTGTTAAAGGAAAGTGAAATTAATACTAATGTTGTCAAAGGAAGATTAAAAGACCAGTTTATTTATGCACAGAATTGGTCAAAAGATATTGTCATTGATAATTCATCCAAGAATCATATGTATAATAAATCTATCAAAGTCAATTTTAACAATATAAAGGAAAGTTCATATCTTTTAGAATTTAAGTGCAAAAAGGTCAACCAGGGCAACATGTATCTAGGATGAACATGTATAAATATTTGCTTTTGTGATATAAAATGTAATTTAGAAGAATATTACAAAGAACTTACTCATTTTCTGTGAAATATTTTGATGAATTCTTTGATAATCTCTCTTAGTCACCATATTCTTCAAAAGTGCATCCTTTGTAATGGAAGGGGGTAGGGTAGGGTGTAAGACAATAAACTTGCGCCAGGTTGAAATTAAACCCCATTATGTAGTATGATTTTTTTCTGAAATTTAAGATACCTATTTACTAACTATAATATGCAATAAAAAAAAGAAATTTGATGGGTAATTTTTTCACAGTGGAAGCAGAAGTGTGAGTCTTTGAGCAATAAATAGGCAATATTTTAACGTAATTTGACCATGCATCTTGGTGAATGTAATTCTGTTTTTCGCTTACAATGCTTAATAATTTTAAGATTGATGTCAAATATTAATTCATATAGAAAGATGTTTGAATTCATATAAGACAAATGATAATTGATATATCAATAAAAATTTTATAGCCCTTTTAATATCTTCTTCTTATATTATTTTACCCTGCTTTTTCAGCTCTTCGGTGGGTGATGAAGGCTATATTGAAATTATCAAATTTCTCTTAAACTAGCCCGATGACCTACCTTGAATTTTTAATATGATTTAGAACAAAGACTCAACACAAACATATATAAAATTCAGAAAATTTCAATGGTTAGTTTTTTTGTTGACAACCTATCAATCTCTACCTTAAAAAATATTAATTTTATTATCCTAAATCTTTACTTTAAAAATGTCTTTGTTTCCGTTTCACCCTCAAATGTTAATGTGTCTGTCGTCATATAAACATTTTCATCAACAGACTGGCAAGGTCGCCTTACAAACTGCAGAAGTCCATTACGTTTCAGGTCTTTATTTTCAGAAAGGGTCACTGACGTCATTTCCGTACACATGGATTTAGGATCTGTATATTCCGCATTTTCTGAAGGATCTTTACACAAACTTTTATCATTTACACCAAGCCTTATGACGGTGTTTGAAATGTTTGTCATGTACTGAGGTTGAATTAACCGATCTATATTCGTTTCCCTTTGATTTTCGTCCTGCATCTGAGTGTATTCCATTTTCATACTTTCAATTTCCTCTTTAGAGATTTGCAGGAAATCTGTTCTGCAGTATAATTTTCTAAACACAAGCGTGAGGAGGATCACAATAATGATTATAAATACTATATTGAATGAGAATAGCGATAGGACTATTGGGTGTAGAAATATGTCATTGGTTCTATTCTCCTTCGCTGATGATTTCATCGAAGTACCAAGGACCACACTAGAATTCTTTTTTCTTGATGAAGAGTTATGAGATACATCCAAATTTGTTGTTTCAAGGAGGGGAAATAGGGATGAAGTTGTAGATATCAAAAATGTAGTAATATTACCTAGAAATTCATAGTCAAAATTAAGTAATTAAAACATGGTTATGAAACAATTTTGAAATGCAGTAAATGAATTGTTAAGACGTTCATTAGTCTCTTACTTTTACATCCTGTGGAGAAATCACACAAGGGTTGATTACATTCGCAGACTTGTTGACAAATTTCACCATAGGTTGGATATGGACATTTTTCTCCACAATGTCGCCCGGTGTATCCTATATCGCATTCTGTATATATCATAATAATAAATCCTCAAAAATCTTGATTCTATTTTCTTTAATTTATTTCTTTTGTGTGCGTGCCAGAGAGAGAGAGAGAGAGAGAGAGAAGAGAAAAGATTCATAAGCATATCAAAAGTATATTTAAAAAAGCATTAAGATATATTCTTTTTAAAATCAAAACCGGGTAATCTACATACTCGTGCAGTTTCCTATTTGTTCGTCCCATTTAAATCCCACACAACATTTCTCAGGTCTGTAGTAAATTAAAGTACGTGATTAAAACATAATGTGCTCCGAAACTGATTGTCCAGAATGAAAAAGTATCTTTTTTTTTGTTATCAAAATACAAAATGTACGTGTTGTATGTCGTTATGTCATTTTTATTTATCAATTCTGTAGCCAAAAAATACTTGGAAAAAAAATGAAATTAAACAACAAACATTAACTCACCCATCACAGCTAGCCTCTGAATATTGTAGACAGTAGATCATCATAAAACAGCATTTTAAAGAAAAGGAATGTTTCAGCATATCAGTCTTTCCAGAAAAAGTCGTCATAAAACTTCCGTGTTTATGATTTGAAATGGGAAGGAAACAATCATCTCAGTACAAAACATTGGTATTGTAATAATTTTGGTGGTGTGGCTTAAGAATTTCGGTGTACTGCAATCTATTGGGACTTCTATAAACAAAATCACAGTTAAATGGTGTCTAATGATGTCTTAGATTTCTATTAAGAGATCTCTTCCAAGAATTTTACATAACTCATCTTAAATGATCAATAAATTGTCATTTTGGAAAAAAAGGAGAATAGCTCAGGTCTTTAAATTTATACCTTTAAATAATATTCTTCTTTTCCTCGAAATATTACATAAAAGAGTGATGTTACGCTTAAACAGGTATATTTATGGTCCAACGTCTAAAAGTTTTCGTTGAAAATCAAAAATGATTATTCATTTATATCTGTTCTCCAGTGACAAAATTTATATAGGATCCATAACCGTGTCCAAATGATTTTCCCGAACTCGAATTCCTTAAAATATAGATTGGCTAGAGTCAAGGATTTTCAAGTGTTTTAGAGTTATTTAATTCTAAATTTCAAATTAGAGGGGAAAAACGAAATTAGAGAGTATATCTATGTATCATAATGCAATTTCCTCCCTTAACAAAGCGGAATTACTTTGAAGTTTGTAAATGATCTTTACCGCAGTGATTTTGGCATCCAATGAAATGCTGTAAGGATCGTGGCAACCAATCAAACACTCGGTGTTGTTGTTGTTGTTGTTTTTTTTTCCCCTAAAAAGTTAAGAAAAATAATAATAATAATCAATGCGTGGGCGTAATGAAACATAAAGTGGCTATGAGAAAAACTTCCTTGTGTAGCTTTAATGTTTGTTTATTTGATATAATATTCTGCCTTTAAAATCTGAAGGATTGAATTTTATTTATATCTTAATTCTGTCATGATGTACACGTTTTATCTTAAAAGCTGTACATTTAGTTATTATGAAGCTACGAATGTTTAAGCTATGCGCTATCTAAAATCTATTAAATTTGGCCTATGAGAATTATGAATGTGAATTACATTGTAAAAGTTAGAAAAAAGATATCAGAAGGAATCCTTGAAAGCTTCATTTTTCCATATCTTAACTTTTACTTGACTTATATACATCACCTGTTCAAGTCTGTGACAAAAGTACCACAGGTAACGCATAAATATCGTCTTATATATTCGACTTATTTTTGAAATGCGAAGGTTGGGCAAATAAGGATACAAAAACCACCCACATATATGAAACTTCTTTCTGAAGCGTAAGAAATCTGAGCGATTTTAAATAAATTTATCCACAATTTAGATTGTCCCAATGCCATGATTTGATCCTTTGTGGTTTTGAAACGGTAAAGATATTAGAAAAAGGATGGAGGGCTAGTATTGTAGCATTCAATTAGCAAGCAAAAGGTTGAATTAGAATGCCACATCAATGTCTCCACTTCCTTACCCACGTTTTTAAAATATTTCAAAAGAACATATACCTGAAAAATGTCAACAGACAAAAGACACGTGACAGGAACTTTTTAATTACTACTACGAAAAGCAAACCTCAACTATCATGTATTTCATAACCTGGCTTTCATAAAAGACTCGAATTTATTCAAATCAAAACTAACTGTGATTAATTGCTGTAATATAACTGCTATTTAATTGAATAATATTTAAAAGTATCCACAAAATAAAATAATCAAAAGCACAAATATATCCGCATCCTTTGACGGAATATAAATTAACAAAACCATCATAAAACATGTATGCATCAACACATTTCTGGTAGTCTTCATACTTATTGATCGCAACCTGCCGAAATATCTGCATCTCTTTGATTATTATGATAATTATTCTTGAAATTATGATAAATATCCCTAGGCTTCCTGTTCTGGGACAGACTAAAAGGAACTATCTTGTTACTATTAATCTATCGGTACACACTTGAGCATGCAACATCAGAAATTCTCATGCTAGGATCCACCATTCTGAGAATTCTTCGGCAGATATCTAGGGAAAGGCCTCTTTAAATTGTAATGCAGACATTGTACTTTTTCTGTTTGCCCATATTGATGACCCGTTTAAAGAAACTGTTTTATGCTTAGTGTACTCACTAGTGGTGCTACATGTAAATTATTCGACTTTTTAAAATCGTAGGTGGTTTAAATTCTGGGTCAATGTGATTGTTCAGTTTCACTTTATTAGAATTTATTGGATTTCAAAACAATCAAAGCAATTTTTGTTGTTGTTTGAGTTACTAGGGGTGATCAGAAAGTTCGCGAACTAATTGAATTACTTCCATAAAAGAAATAAAATTAGGTTTCAGTGTTCATCATTTTTTAAAGTAGTCCTCTCCGATGCCACCGTTCTGTCCATGCGCGAATCGAATGATACAGGTAATCACGTGACATTCCCCGTGGCGTTCTGTTCACAAAAGCTAAAAGAATTTTCCGAGTCTTATATTTCTTACCATGCAGGTTATTTTTTATAACAAGAACAGTCCATTTATCAGAAATGACCAAATCTCGGTAACAGGATGGGCGGATAAGGATATGCCTTCCAAGAATTAGCATGGGCACCATCACAACCCGAATCCGCTGTCTTGGGAGCGTCGTTTATCCAACGTGGATAAAGTATGGGCGCCTTCTTTTTATCATATCTCATATGTTTAAAGTCTAAAGTAAACGATATTTTAGGGATTTAATAATTATATTATTGTTAATATACTCAACAATTTTTCTAACTTTAACTTGGCGATCTTTCATAACAAATTGCTAAACTCACATCTCTTCCCCAGCTTGCTTTCACTGGGCAACAGAACAAACAACATTTTTAACCATCTCCCTTCCTTCACTGAAACAATCAATCCAATTAATAATTGAACTTTTGGCAAGTCTTTTGTCTTCACAAACCTTGTACAAATTATTATATACTACTGCAAAGGAATTTCCTAGATATACATTAAACTTTACAGCCTTTTGTTCCTCGAGTACGACAGAGTCAACCATTTTTTGTCACAAGTCACCTACATATTGACGTCATTTTCACATTGTGACGTCACAAACACGGAGCAAAACATTATATAACATCTGCTATTTATAGAACATGCGTATGACTACGTGAGTGCCAAATTTCATTCTGATCTGAATTGAGGTTTTGTAAATATAGAAATACTTCGCGAACTTTTTGATCACCCCTCGTATACATGACACCTCTGAAAGCTTTTTTATTCAAATGACCTCCAGCAAAAAACTCCATCATGACTATTAGATCCTTGCTGAAATTGAAAATCTATCACCGTCAGGCCCCTCGGTACCGATACGTAGGTCATATATTGATGAATAGTGCATTACAAATTGAATATTTAATTCCAGATAAACGGTTTCATGCTTTTACATACTCTTAACCAAAATTATAGAATTGATGTCCTCTTTTCCGGTGTTTAAAAGCAAAGGATTGGGCCAAGTTGGTCATATATTGAAAATATCTTCAATCTTCATAATCCTCATAATCTTCATAATTCAGGTACCAGATTAAGACTGATTGATTGATTCTTTGTTGTTTTACATCCCGTTTGAGAATTCTTTACTCATATATAGAGACGTCACCATATACCAGTGAAGGGCTTTAAATTTAGACCTTTACTCGGCACTCAGGGCCATTAAACAGTGAGAGTTTTTTATCGTGCCAACGCCTGTCGTGACACGGGGCCTCGGCTTTTAAGGTCTTATCCAGAAGACCCTCAACTTTCACTTCAAAGTACCGAGCGCTTGGCGAAGGAACAGTTGCTACCCATTTTTTATCGACTTAGGTCAGTTGCGGCCAAGATTCGAACACACAACATTCCGATCAAGGAGAGAGCGCTCTACTAACTGAGCTACCGTGACGGCTTCCAGAGTAAGACAAATAAGATCAATTTTGAAAGAAAATCATTTTTCTTCATTAATCAAGGTCATGTAGTGTAGGTAAATTGTGTGTATGATTATAAAGACCACAAAGTCCTTAACAGTTATTTCAAAATTATTGTCCTCTGGGAACTGGGATCGGAAGGGGAGCTACGTTTGTCACATATTGAAATTTAATATAAATACATACATGTATTAAGGCTTTAACTTTTGGTATAAAAAGGTCAGAGATTATATGATAATGACTTAAGTACAATAAACAATTAAACTAAAGTATCCTCCAAAATTAAACAATTTGTGCCAGACCAGCTCCATGCTGTCGTTGCCTGAATAAACTAGTGATAATCATGTGGTGATCAGGGCCTATGGGGCCTTTGTTTAATATATCCCTGCTGTCCCTTAAAAATAGTCTCGCCTAAATGAAAAACAAAGCTTGTTTTATTTTTAGACATTCTTCATTGACAAATGTTGATTATAAAGAAAATGATTTATAGTTAATCAATTTAAGCTAAATTCAGTTCAGCTGTGTAGGTAATTTAATGTTTACAGGATTCATGAGAGGATGATTACTCCTCCTAAGCACCTGATCCCACCTCTGGTGTGTCCAGAGGTCCGCGTTTTTGCCCTTTTCACGATTCGTGTTGTTTACTGGTTTTAACAGATTGATCACTGTTTGTTATCTTCCCCTTTTATCTTATATGCTCTTCTATTTCAATAAATAAATCCTATGTGAACATTAAACTACATGACCCTGAATATACAGACATAGATTAAATATATTTTCTCAGAATTTACACCTATTTCTTGAATTGAATAGTTTCCTAAATAAATTCATCTTTTTTTTCTTTTCATGCCAGAGGTCATCTGCACTAGCACCCACTCAATGTGTAGATTTTTAGATAAAAGGCCGAACTGCATTTAAGCTTCCTTGTGTATTTTCCCCCAAATCGTTATTTCTACTTTTGATCATGACTTTTCATTGGCTAAAAAAAGTTGTAGGGCGGTTCTTTTCAAAATTAGGATTTCATCAGAACAAAATATAAGTACATTTTCAACATTTAAAGA